AATTTTTTTATTCACGCATTTAATTTATTTATTCAGTCTTTTATTTATTTATTCCAGTATTCATTTATACATTAATTTATTTATTTATACTTCTGTCAGATCTCGTCCTCCATAGCAATAAACCCTACTAGTCTCTTCTGCAAACTGCAAGCATTCAGGACATGCGTTATAAGCCCTCTGAACTCAAGTCCCCATCTTCTTCCACAATTCCTGAACAACTCTTAACCTGGGTTCCAACAATGGTTGTATTTGGGTTTATTTCTTCCTCTCCAAGCCAACATTTTTTGTTGTGAGTCAGAAAATGCATTAAGTGACTGTCAGGTATCGGCTATAAAAAGTCTTTAAAGGCTTTATATGCGATTTTTCACACTTAAATATAATAGAAATCAAGTATATCCTCTGAAAATAACTCTGAGAGTCATGACTGTCTACAATGGGTGTAACACCCGAGTCCCACTGTCTGTGATGCTTTCAGAGTTTTCAGAGTCCTAGCTTCAGTTTGTTTACATCGCCCGGACGGCCGGCTGACTCCTCCCCTCGTGTATAAAAGTTGTTTAATTGAGGGACTAGAGAAAAGAAGAATAACATACTGTACTCACTGCTTAACGGCGTTTCTAGATCACGATCATTTCAGGTAAATTTACATGCAGGGTGAAGATACGAGCATAATAAAGATCGCTAGCATTAGCATGCTAACACAACAATGCTAAAAGAAGGTCATTGGTTACCTTGAGGAGGGCAGTCTCTGTGCTGTGACAAGCTCTAAAACCGGATTGGAATTTCTCAAAGAGGTTATTTTCAGTCATAAAAGATAAAAGTTGTGTTGAAACCACCTTTTCTAAAACTTTTGATGAAAATGGAAGTTTTGAGATTGGTCTAAAATTGTTAAAATCAGTGGGATCAAGGTTGGGTTTCTTTAAAAGTGGTTGGACCACAGCACGTTTAAAAGCAGAGGGGACTACACCTTCCGCCAAGGAACTATTAATAATGGATAAAATACTGGGTCCAACTGTGGTAAAAACCTCTTTGAGAAACGTTGTGGGAATAAAATCAAGGCTGCACGTAGCTGATTACATGTGGGTTAAAATTTCAGATGAAAAGGTCAAGGACACCGGCTCAAAACTGCTAAAATAACTGTTAAGTTCCCTGCTGGTGTCTAAAATACGGTCTGGGGGGATGATTTGTTGCCTAATGTCCTTGACTTTATTGGTAAACTAAGTTAAAAACTTCTCACATAGATCCTGAGAAGGATCAATAAAATAAGAAGGGGAGGGGGGTGGTGATTGATTCTAAAACCTTAAATAAAATTCTGGGATTAGAATGATTGGCTAAAATCAGATTAGAATGAAATGCTGCTCTTTGGTATTGTTTCATTGTATCTCTCCATATTTCATAAAATACATGCAAGCCTGTTTTTTTTCCATTTTCGTTCTTTCCTTCTGCAGTCTCTTTTTAGATCCTGAGTCAGTTCGTTTAGCCATGGCTGTGGAGCTCTGTTAGTTTTTATAGGGAGCAACAGAGTCCAGCACAGCTTGACAGGTGAGATTAAAAGAGGAGATCAGCTCCTCTGTGTTAAAATGTTGGTAGTTAAGAGACAGAAATAAAAAGCTCCTTAAACTTGCTAGCAGACGTAGAGTTAAAAACCCTGCTGCGGACAGGTGCCTTGCTAATAAAAGGTGGCTGAGATAAAACCATTCTGAATAAAACCAGTTTGTGGTCTGACACACAGATATCCTTTGTCTCAAAGTTGTTCGGGCTGAGACCACTGTATACAACAAGATCAAGTGTGTGGCCCTTAGAGTGAGTGGGTTCCTGTATTGCCTGAGTAAGGTTAAAAGATTTTAGAATATCTATAAAATCACCCGCGAGGGATTGAGAGGGGCAACAGACATGTATGTTAAAATCACCTAAAACAAGGATTTTATCATACTTAGAAATAAAATGTGATAAAAACTCTGAAAAGTCTGCAAAAAAAACATTGTTAGGTCTGGGTGGTCTGTAGATGATTAAAATGAACACAGCATTAACTCATTAAAATGAGTGTGTAAAATTGGAGTGCATTTAAAATCTTTTCTATGACTAACAGCAACCCCCCCCCTCCCTCCCCCTCCGATGAAGGTGAGTGTAATCAGGGGGGGTTGCTTCAATCAGAGGACTGCAATCTCTCATAGTCAACCAGGTCTCAGTGACAATAAAAAAGTCAAGATTATTATGATTTATAAAATCAAGGCAGATAAAAGATTTATTATTAAGGGATCTGATATTTAAAAGACCAAAGTTAGCTGAAGTGCAATTAAAGGTTGGTTGTAAGGAGAGGTTGGAGGCGTACTTGGGTGAGATTGGAGTGGTTACAGTAATTGACAGGTGACAGATGTTGATGAGACAGTCTGCAGGTGACGTGTACAGGGATAGTGAATTCAGTGCTGTGGTCTGTGACAGTAGAGAGTGTATGACAGTCATTGGAGGACAGAGAAGAAGGAGAAAAAGAGTGACACCAGGT